GACATCGGCAAACACCAACAGAAAAGATAGTATCGAAAGAAGAGCATGCCTAGACACTTTCTCTGTGATAATATTTTTTAGGAGTTCTTAGGAATTGTTGCAGTAGGCACTCAAAATCTTGTTCTAGTTACAGTTGCTAATAATAATTAAAACATGTGAAATTTGTGAAGTCAAACGTTCATCTGTTGAATTTCCGCTTGAGAAATACGTATTTTGACCCTTCACACCTAAACAAACCCAGTGCGCATGTGTGATGATCGTAGTTTCAAAATGCGCATATATTTTATAGTCACATTAAAAAAATGGCGGGGTTGTATCATACTCCGCTAACTGGTTACTTGTGTAAACAATCGCAAACTATCATAGACATCAAAGATGAGCTAAACAATGTCCTTATCAGGATTAATTTGGGTTGAAACAAAAGGAAGTAAGCCAGTTAAGAGGCTTAAGTGGCTACTTGATAGGGGTTGTGGCTCCTTCCGTTAGTACCTTCCATGGTAGACCCAAGTTCAAATCCTACCATACGCTGAACATCAAAAGGATCAACCCCTACCCTGGGTGAGTGTGCCACAGACTCAATGGGAAGGCCAATCCACTGGCCGAGATTCATTCACTAATGAATGCGACTTGGTTAAAGTCCGCAGGTGCTTGTGTTCGACGGAGCCTGGTTGACGCCAGGATAGCGCATTAAATTGCCATTTTATAGGGAGATGGCCGCACAGCTCTGTCATGTAGTCCCAAACAGGAAATGACAAAATGCACTTTGTGTCAGCCAGTGTTCCCTCTAAGCCTTATTTTCGCTCAATTTTCCCAGATTCAATTGTAGTTTCACAGTGAAATTTTGTCTTTTGAGAAACATTTCAAGGGGAAAATGGGCAAATTTTCTCAGTATTTTCAAGATTCAAAGAAATTAAAGGAAACAGTGGTGTCAGCACTAGCACTTGTAATTTGCACATACAAAAAATTCAGGAGAGATAACAGTGACATTCAATGTCCAGAACTGTTGCCTGGCACAAAAAAAAAAAATAATAATAATCATAATGACATTGCTGCTCGAGTTGATTTTAGGTAGCCTAAATGAGCTAATTTGTCATATACATTGTATAAGCCGTAAACATAACCCATTATCTTTGTATTTTTTCAGGGAGGAAGTGAAAGCTGGACATCTGATGATGAGACAGTGATAGCATCACTAGCATTTCATCCAACAGATCAAGTATTAGCAATAGCAACAGATAACAGAATTTACCTGTGGGATTGGAGTCAGCCAGCACCATTTACATATGTTAAAACAGCCCTATCTAAAGAGAAAGTTAGGTAAATTATCAGTTCATGTTCTTAGTATCTCAATCATTATTCGCCTAGGGGATCCAAGCGACTTGGTGAGCAAAATTGATTAATCTAGTATAGATGTGTTGTATTTGACAGGTTGGTATGTGGATCATAAGGACTTGTTTTGATGAAAAGGTTTTTAAAATTTCAGGGTGATGGAATATTGTGTGTATGTGTTCAATTCATTTAGCTAGTTTGATCTCATCCTGCCAAAACTTTTAAAATGTGAAATCAAAATGCATACATTCTACAACTTGTATGTAATTCTGGCTCTTATTTATATCATATCTGCTCTCTAACACAAGTAGACTGCAGTAGTGCATGCTTTTAAGGTAGATGCCTACTCATGATTTCAAAAATCCAGAATTTATTCATTTTTTAATATATTGTACTTCCGGGCAATATTAGAATATTGACTTTGAAAAAAATGTGGGTCACCAGGTTAATTTTCGAGAAAATCATGGTTGTATTTTAGTGGATAGCGTTCATTTTGGCAGTATTATAGTGCTTTTACTATAGGTTCCTATGGCAGAGATATTATGCCATATCTCAAATTGTAGGCTGGTGACATAGGCTGAAAAAATAATATATTGTTAATAATGGCCTCCTTTTTGTTTTCCAGAATTTTTTCAAAAATCTGGGTTTTAAAAAGTGTTGAAAAATGTAATTTTTGTTTAACATTGCGCTCTATGGAATTGTTCTAAAAATAGCTATTTTTGAAAAATTGGGACAAGTTTCTCAAAATACGTCACTGTAACACACAAAAGAATGCTTTTTTATGGTACCATGGGACAATAGCTCCATGATCTTACATAATAAACCAATGAACACTGTCATGTGATTTATGACAAAATTTCTCAAAAAATATGAGTAGGCTTCTACCTTAAATAAATTTCACAGCTGTTTCTATGGTTTAAATAAATATGGTATACTTGTATAAAGCAAGCAGGGTTCAGTGTGTTTATATCAGTCTATTTTAACCCATGCTTTACACCACTAGCCACAATCTGTATTTTGCTAACTCGTACATTCACTTGATTCAATAACAAGGCCACATTAAGCAACTTTTCACTCGTTTTTGTATCTACCTATTACAGAAATTAATTAAACTATACGAAGCTGTTTCATGTTAAAAATAGGCACAGTAATATTTGTTATTAACAATAATTGGATGGAATGATCAATAGTGTGTTGTACAAGCAACATATTTAGGAACACATGTGCTTGTGTAAATGTCAGCAGCGAATCTGTGGTCAAAATGTTTCCTTTATTTAGCATATAGTAAAAGTAAATTTGCTTAAAGTTCTTTTATATCGGAGATGTGCTTTTAATAGAACAATTACTGTACATGTATCACTCTGTTCAAATTCAGGTTCATCCCAGAACTTTTTTGCAGATCATAGTCGTCTACACACAGAGATCATTCACTTAGTGATAGGACATAAAAATGTAAAATTGTCACTTTATCTGCATATAGATTTGGGTCAATAGTACCGGATTCGGCTGATACCCCGCCCTGGGCGATCTTATGGAAGATTCGATTTTTTTTTTAGAAAAATGTGGACCAAAAGATCGCCCGGGCGATGTTATGGCAGATATTACGAAGCCCATTTTGTCCAGAAAAATAACCCTGCACTGATAAAAATGGTCTCAGAAAATAATGTTTCGCGTTGACCAAATATAATCATGCAAAGTATAAATTCAAAGTGTTTTAATACATTGGTGAGAGATCGCATTACGTGAACAAGAAAGAAAAGCAAGCCAAAGTCGAAACGGGGTGCATCATCGACATGGCACAACACACGCTGCGACAACAGAGTAATCAGCGAAATCATTTTGGGCGCAATTGAACTTCAAGTACTTCTTTACAAACTGTTGCTGCACGGTGACACTTCTGACATCAAGTGTGTGTTGACCAAAGTTTGACCCAAAGTCACGCACTGAACTGGCGCGTTACCGTAGCAACCTTTTTCTTTCGTGCTCCGCGCATCGGTCTAGTAAAATTGTTATTATATCTGACGATACTGTAATCACATAACTTGTCTGCAACTCTGGCTTTGAATATATCAACATCTTTTACTTGGTGCGCTGCTTTTCTAATGACGCAAATTTGTTTACAATGTTGTACCGGCTCTGAATATTTCAACTTTGTAATGCTTTCATAATAATTACACAAACTCAAGTAATTTATATTACAGACTTTATTTGTTCAAAAAACCTGTCAACTCTCACAAATACTACGAACGCGAAGAGTTTACTGAAAGGGAACGTCTTTTTTGGACAAAAAAACCCACGT